TATATATATTGTTCAGTACGTATTTTATTTTATAACGGTAATGTCCGGACCAGTTTATTCTTTTTCGGAAGTTTTGGACTAACTATAAGGATTGTTTTTAGGATGGAGAAGGTTGACTTGAAGAAATTTAGATGCCAAGCAAAGGTGTTGGGAACAATAGTAACTGTGGCTGGAGCCATGTTAATGACATTGTACAAAGGCCATGTCGTTAACTTGTTATGGTCAACTAATTCTAGTGTCCCTGAAACTAATTCCGACAAAGATTGGTTTAAAGGTTCAATTCTCCTCATTTTTGCAACTCTTGTCTGGGCTTCTTTCTTCATTCTTCAGGTATATATGCTATACATTACAACCTTTTCAGGGAATTTTTTTTTTGTTTATCATTATATGCATGGTGGTTAAAAGTAGTTTAATACTATTTGTTACAGGCTATAACAATGAGGAAATATACAGCTCCATTATCGTTAACAGCACTTGTTTGCTTCATGGGAACCTTGCAATCTATAGCAGTCACATTTGTAATGGACCACAAACCTTCTGTTTGGACTATTGGTTTTGACATCAACCTTCTTGCTGCTGCCTATGCTGTAAGTTCCTTTCCTTTCTTTTCAACCGTTCCCTCAAGAGGCGGATGAGTTTATATTTGATGGGTTCAACTGAATCATTCTGAACCTATAATTATAAAATTAAAGTGTGTTTATTACAAAAACAATTAAAGATTGAATCCATCAAGTTTCCCGGATTCACCTCTGCCCCCACCCCATGCAAACATTGACTAATGATGAATAACCAATTTTTTATTTTTAAAACATTTCAGGGTATTGTATCATCAAGTATAGCATACTATGTACAAGGTGTTGTAATGGAAAAAAGAGGACCTGTTTTTGTGACTGCTTTTAGTCCTTTAATGATGATTATTGTTGCAATTATGGGCTCTTTCATTCTTGCTGAAAAAATCTATATTGGAGGGTAATTTCAATCTCTCAACATCTTATCTTCTTTTTCCCCCCTCAATCTGCTATAAGCTAAATCTTTTTTTGTTTTGTTTTTTTGTTCAGAATTCTTGGTGCTATGCTCATAGTTGCAGGGCTATATTCTGTTCTGTGGGGAAAATATAAGGAGTACAAAGAAAAGGAAATTGAGGAGGCAATAATTCCTGAAGCAGTGAAGGCAGTTAATGGAAACAAGCAAATGATGATTCTTGCAAATATTGAAGAAATTAATGACATAGAGATGCAGAAAAATAGTGAAGGAAAAAGAACAGTATCAGTAGCTATCAGTTTTACCATGCCACAGCCCCCAATGTTGGCTAGGGAAGCACCAGAAGGCTTGATATAAATTAAATATGAAGAGATGATGGGAAAAAAGAAATAGAAGGAAGAGGCAACAGAGAATGCCATTTTGTCCTTCTACTTTTTCCCTTTTTTCCCTTTCTCTTAATTTTGATATTATATACAAATATTTTTAGAGTAATTTACTCCTTTTCTGACCTTAAGCTCGTAAAAAATAACAAGTGTTCTCTCTATTGAAAGATAGATTTTGAAAGTTTTGATATTGCCATATTGGTATCCAGTTGTCCAATAAACATATTAATAATCGAGAACATACACATAAATACATACTATATATA